AATTTTTAATCTGTTTGGAAATTTACCTGTTTTAATTGATTTGTTAATTAAGTTTGATAGTGGATATGCAATTGGGTGAATAGTTTTTTTTAAAGATTAGTTGAAAGGAGGTCATAATCATAACTATTTTTAAGTTCATTAACAATCGAGATTATTTCATTTGGCGATGTATCAGTGACATAAAAGGGTGGAAAATCAAAGTTGTTTAATCTAGTGTGACTTGACGTCAAATTAGAAGAGTAACCACTGGTTAGTTTGTAACATTGCTCAATAAAATTTTTTTTTATTTCTTTGACTGCGTTAATTTTTACTTCTAAAGGATCGTTTTCTTTAAAAAGATGTGATTTTATTGAAGTTGGACCTGAACCGATATTTTTTATAACTATTGGGCACGCCTTATCAATACATTTTATGTATGTATGGAAAAAATTTTCATAATCGTCCTCAATATCAGAATCTGAACTTAAAAGAATTTCTAAATGCTAGTAAATAATGGTTTATTAAAAAAAGATACTGATAAAATTATAAACAATCAAGTAAGAAAATAATAAATGTTATACATTATTCTTAATGATAATGATGTGATATTAATAATCTTGATGTTGATTACAATAAAGATAGTAACGAAAATATTAATACTGATAAAAATATAACTAATGTAAATAATATTGTTAACATTGCTGATAATAATAATGTTAATAATAATGGTAATAATATATTTGACGCTATAACTAATACAGCCATTGGTGCTAGTATTACTACTACTAATACTATCTTTACTGACATATTATATATATATATATATATATATATATATATATATATATAAGTATATTGGAATGAGACCATATTTTATACGGTATTGTAGAAATTCTACCAATAATGCCAGCAATTCTCTAGAATTCATACAATACTACCTATATTCCAGTCGATCATCGTGGTCGTATATATATACTAGATATATATATATATATTGTATTGTAATTATATATATATATCTATATATGTATGTATATATATATATATATATATATATATATATATATATATATATATATATATATATATATATATATATATATATATATATATATATATATATATATATATATATATATATATATATATATATATATATATATATATATATATATATATATATATATATATATATATATATATATATATATATATATATATATATATATA